CCAAGTCCTCTCACCAATGTTTTTGACCCACATGGGGAGGATCAGGATCTAGCACCTCCTAGTCCAGCGTTTCAATCGCGGGTTGATCGCCCGAGGAGTGTAGGTGTGCTGCCATCACAATCGCAGTCGAACAATCCTTATGCAGAATCACGTTCTCCTTCTCAGCAGCCTCCGAGTACATTAAGACCTCCCGGGACTATTAGTTCGAACGATAGGCCGACGAGTATGATTTAGCTGCTTATTTCTCCATGCTGTTCTTTGTTGTAGTCCACATAATTCCATTGGGTATATTACACAAACCAATTGTGCAATGGATGTTATCTACGATTGCCCAATGCACAATTAACCTAATCGTGTTAGCGTACCATGGGAGCTTCGTGAATTCCATCAATGCTGAGAGTAAAGAGGGAGAGAGGACTTACCTGAGCGTGAACCCAATCTCGCCATTACATCTTCTGAGTTTTCCTGCTCTTCGACGGTGTCTGACTGCGTTACCTGTGAATGTCATATCAACGAATAATGCACGTAGAAGTGCCAAGGAACATACCACACGAAGGACCGACTTTTTAGAGGATTCTTGCAGCTCGCCGGCGATGATCAATTCATCAAGTATCTGAACATCGGTCAACGATGGCTATGCTTGCCAACTGCAAGATAGCGTACCGCGTAAGCCTTCTGGAAGTTGAAGATCCTATTGATACGTTGATCGGTGCTGAATCATAACAATTGAATCAACAGCACGCACAAGTCCAACTCGCAGACCTATACTCGCGTTAGAGCATGCAGAACAGTCAGAGAGAGTTCTTACATTCCCAAAATATCTATCCAAGACCTCGACGTATCGATGTATGATTTCGAGCGTCACCAGTTCGTTGTCGCTTGACCCTATGCCGCAGACGAAGAACAGAGACGCGTATCTGCGGTAGACCACTTTCGAATCTAGATATATGCTCGCTCTAGCCGAATCAAAAAAGGATGTGAAATCTATCCTCGACCTTTGTATTCCAGAAAATTGCACATTTTCGTTCGGCGCGCCAGCACGAGTTGTGTTACATCCTTGACAATTTTGGCTTTCGTTCTTGGGGGAAGGGTGGTGAACCATTTCGATAATCGGACTTTTCCTATCTCGAAAAGGTCAGAATTTGGCGTGATGGTGGACGGGAGCGTGTACCCTGTCGGGAAACGAGCAGAATGTAAGTGATCATGGTGGTCAGACTCAAAGACACGATGCGGGACTCGGTCCGGGCCGAGGCACATCACTTCCTCCTTGCCATGATCGTCTCGCGAATACAGTACTGAGTACATAACCCCCACCAAAACCCTCGAAATGACCGATTTACCGCGAATACAACGCACTGGCGCCTTCAATTCAGCCCTTTCCGACCCGGAACTCTGTTTCTTACTGGATATATGCTCTTGTGGACCCGAATTACAGTGACGTATCAGTGTTGAAGAACGCTGAAACGCACAACCACCGACTACCACCGATGTCTACTGGGCAACTGAACATCTATGCTCCGACACCCGGCTTTCTGCCCGGCTCAAAAACTTATAGTCTAATGAGGGTTCCGCCACATTACCTCTGCGGTTTTTGTGAGGGAAAAGGGCGTCCGTGATAAACGACGCTTCTTCGTGCGTTGCGATAAATGAATATTTGTCTTTTTGTGGCCTCTGACGCCGACCAAAACGATGACTTGCATTCATTCAGCGAGACTTGACGTGGGTACATTCGGGACCCTTTGTAGAGGCACTTTCGGCTCACCTATCGCTGAATCCGCCAACTCCGTCTGTATACACCTGCCTTACGTTACTCTCTGCATCCGCCCTTGGTTACATTTAGCTGCGTGACGCGCGCCACAAACATGTTCTGCCATCATATGCAGGAACGACTGCCGTATTCCGATGGGATTGGAAGATGCGGTGTTTCAATTTCTCACGTTCAGCTGTTAAAAGGAGCCCACGCTGATTCGCGGTTTGATACCCTCACTTGACTAGATGAGCACCCCCGACATAGCTAGAACCTACGGAGCATTGCTCATCGGCGGGGGTATAGCCATCATGTACGTTGTCGCCCGCTCTGTGCTGTATTTCTGCTGATGTGATTTCATAGGCTAAGCGGGGTGCTGTTTATCCAGATCATCGTCTACTTTCGACTGTATATGGAAGATTCTTGGCTGAAGAAGACAATGGTACCCGATTCGCTTCTCGTGTCTCTGTCATCTAATACACTTTCAACCTACAGGTCTTAACTGTTTGGTATGGCTTCTGTACAAAGGCTGACCGCGTTCCAGTGCTCATTCCTTGTCCCTTTCAAGGTTTCTTGATATAGCGCATTCAACATTCATTTTATATTCTCTCTTCGACTATCTCATTATTCATTTTGGCGACACCGCGAGAGTGGATCATATACCATGGTACGATCCCTAGGCTGCTCCAAGATCCTCGGTGCTCATTGCGTACATTCACTTAGGCCCATCGCGGTATGTGTTTTGTATAAAACAGTGTCGGCGATGTCTTAATCCCGCCACAGATGTCGATAGTTGTCACCGTACGCTTTATTTGCATTCGTGCCTACCCTTCTCAGCGCACGAAACAGGCAGCTCAGACATTTCTCGCGCAATGGTGAGTTTCGCAAGGTCTCCCGATGTAACATTCTCCTCAAAATATTGTAGTTTCTTCGTACAAAGGATACACAACTGTGCGTTCTCGATGATTGTGTATCCCTGTTTCTCATATGCGTTCTTTTCAGTCAGTGCGAAGAATTGGTTTTTGACCGTACCAGTTGTATGATATTTTTCTGCTCCTCTTGCCGCGAACTGTCGATTGACACATGCATAGCTCGTCCTTGTCTTTCTCCGTCTCCGTAAGTACCCGTTATAGTATCCTTAAAGCTATATACTGATGACGGTCTACAGTGGCGGCATCAGGTGCATATCCCCTTCAAAGTGTTACAATGCTGGCAGTGCTGACATATGTGCGAAAATAGTCTCCACCGCAGAGATGTGCGCGCTCTTCTCCGTCATGCATAGCAATTGCTAACGTACCGCGCAGGATCCGATTACATCGTTTCTCCGCGTTTGTACGGCACTATCCCGGCGTGCGAGCCCCACTGTTCATCCGAGATATTTACTGAATTATTTTTCTTATGTAGTGGGTATTCACGACTGGCTTGTCGCTTTCTTCCGCGAGCGACATCATTATCACTACCTTGATGTGCTATTTCCTACGGCGGTTGAGACGGCAAATAGATGTGCCTTCGAGGTAATTCAAAGCCGTTGCATTGTAATTCGGCCATGTATTGAGACCACTTTCAGGATGGTCCACGTCATCGACTCGTTGACAATCTGGACTCTTGAGAATGGCTTGCTCACCTGGTTGGTTTCCAACTCTGATCAAAACTCTATACTCACCGTTCTCGTTCTTTCAGCGTCACAACTACTGCCTCTTTAATATGCGTGCGCCACCCTGTCGTTACCTTCTTCTCGTACTGATTCTCGCTCCAGTGGTTGACGATGCGCACCAATCTTGTCTTCCTTGGGCTCCACTTTGTCATCGGGAAGCTTTATGCGAATTCTCTTCTCGCCTCTCTCAACACACGCAAGGAGCTTCGTCAGCTACGTGCGAAGATACGAGCATGGGGAGACCTTCCTGTGTTTTCCGACGAGGACTTCTACACGCCGCGTCCAGTACGACGGTATCGTGCCGCGCGTAACGTGAGTCTTCCTTGTCCCGGTGAGCCCGTTCAGAGTAATTAATTTGCCGTCTAGCTCGAAGTTACCGTTGAAAGGACCGTTGAACATACTCTTGAGGAGCCTCGTCTTTCACTTCCCCAATCTGTGCAATCACACTATTCTCCTTACTCGAAGGTTCACTTGAAACGTACACCAACTGTGCTCGAGTGGCAACGGGCCAGTGTTTACGGCGTTTAAGTGCTTATAATACTCGTCCCAGATTCTACTTTTTCTTCGACTCGACCTGAACCTATCTTACGATTCTACTAATATTAAACCTAAATAAGTCACTTGTACTACTATTCTTACTCTGCACAGTCGTTCCTTCATACTTATCTGTATTATGTAGTGTCCTTATCCTCCTGGAGAATTTAAAACATGTTTAGTGCTGTGAAGTAAACAGGCTTTGACGCACTGAGACATCAAGTGGTATAGGGTTGCGCAGGATACCTTGAATATCGCGCCGTTCGATATTTAACCGGTTAATAACGGTTAATAACCAGGTTATTAACACCTCCGCTGAATGGTAAGTTTTGGGCAGTTATTAACCTATCACATGATGCAGTCATATGAGCAGGCGGGGCGGGATCGGCGAGGAGGAGGGTGATTTGTGGGCAAGAGTGCCGGTAATGAGCTGCTGGGCCACATAGATACATCAGAAGAGCAGTAGAACTCACATTAGACTATTTTGAAGCCACTAGAGATGTTTTTGAGGGCCTGGAAAGAAATGTTTGCCTGAGACCGGGAAAATGCGCCACACAGCATCACGTGGTGGTTATTAACACCCCCAAAATGAGGGTATATCCCGCCGAGGTTACTAACCGCCTTGGGGAATATACTGCGCAACCCTAAAGTGGTATGACCGGTAAAAACATTAGGGTGGCGCAGTAAACCCTAGGTTTTGATACACCTCGGGTTTACTGTGGTTTTTAACGGTATCGATACGGTATTGAAACCCTCGGGGGTTGGGAGGTAGGTTTCGATACCGGCACGTGATCAGTCACGTGCCGGCACGCTGGCGCAGGGAGAAGCTGAGAGCGGCAGGACAAAGGCGGGATGGGGGCGGGGGCGCGGCGCGGCGACACGTCACGTGTTTAGGCACGTGCCGGTATCGAAACCGTTAGTAACGGTTTCAAAACCATGGCCTCCCGGGGCGTCGGTATCAATACCGTTACTAACACCCCCGGGAGGTTTACTGCGCCACCCTAAAAAACATGCAACAGTGAAATTTCAAAACTGAGAACGAGGTGGCGCAAAATGATATCCAACTACCGACGGTGGGGATCGAACCCACAACCTTCGCCTGCTTTTTCTTAGGAAAGCGACGCGCTACCATTACGCCACGACGGCTTGAAAGTTTAATTTCCCTGCAGATTCTGTGCCGATGTGGTGGTTTCTCAGTGATAAAATCTAAATAGGCAGTGCTTACGGGTTGGCGCGAGCGCATTGCTCAAGCGCTCACGACTCACACCCCCGCGTCGACCCGCCGTATCAACCCACCAAACCCGTGCTCTTCCCAAGCTCTTCCGCTTAACGCGCATCTTCAATCACCACGATCACAAACTCTATGGGGGCTAATTACTTTCCTGTCACGGAACGTATTCGATGAGGGGCGCTAATCAACAGGCACTAGAGTAGGAAGCACCCATAAATACTCTATCAGTGCATGCTTCCCGTTCTCTCCTGGCTCCTCACAGTCTACCATGGCCCAAATCTCCAAACCTTTCGTTCTCCTCACGTCGATGCCCGCTATGGGTCATTACGCTCCGATGCGCGCCATCGCGAATGGTCTTATCCAACGAGGTTACGAGGTGACCATCCTCACCGGACCCCGATATCGCGAGAGCGCTGAGGAGATGGGCGCTACCTTTGTGGCGCTTGGCGGTCATCTCAATGACCTCGACTTCAACCACCCCAAGATATTGCCCAAGCCAGCACCGGCGATGTTCGCAGATGCAATCACCGAGGCTTTCGTCAAGGCCATTCCTGACCAGCATGAGGGCATGCAGCACATCCTACGATCACTCCGTGACAAAGATTCTTCCCGACCTATCGTTTTAGTCAACGAATGCTCCTTCTTAGGTTCCCTTGCCACTACCTTCGGAGCGCGTGGCCTCCGCCCTGACGCGACCATTGCCGTTGGAATCCTCCCTCTGATGCTCTCCAGCAAAGATCTCGCGCCTTTCGGGCCTGGTCTTCCACCAGCCACCACACCTGAAGAGCGCGAGAGCTACGCCGCCATGCGCACGCACTTGAACGAAGTCTCTATGGCCTTGCCGAAAAATGAGTTTGACCGCATCTTGGGTACGTTGGGCGCAACCGTGACGAAGGAAACCCAACACAACGTCTTCGACACAATGATATTAAACGTGGATCGCTTCCTGCAAATGTGCGTTCCAAGTCTCGAGTACCCGCGAAGCGATGCACCAGACTCTATCCGTTTCACGGGTGGTCTGCCCCGTGGACATCGCTATCGCGGCAAGGAAGTGCAGATGCCAGACTGGTGGAAGACGATCATTACGAACCCAGAGAAGAAGCGCATTGTCGCCGTAGCACAGGGCACCGTCCAGCTTGATTACACGCAGCTCGTCATGCCGACTCTCACAGCGTTCGCTGATGTAGACGACGTGATGACCGTTGCCGTCCTGGGCAAACATGGCGCATCTTTACCCTCTGATTTCGTCGTTCCCAACAACGCGTACGTCGGAGATTATATCCCATACGATGATTTACTCGAACACGTCGACGTGTTCGTGACGAACGGCGGCTATGGTGGCTTCCAACACTCCATGTCACACGGTGTTCCAATTGTTATCGGAGGAACAACAGAGGACAAGCCGGAGGTCGCTGCGCGCGCGGAATGGGCGGGTGTAGGAGTGAATCTCAAGACAGACAGGCCTTCCCCGGAGCAGGTTAGGACAGCGGTTAGGGAGGTGTTGGCGCACCCAAAGTACAAAGCACGCGCCCTAGAGATCGAGAAGGAGATGCAAACATATGATCCGATTCAGATTATTGCGGATTCAGTGGAGGAGCTTGCGAAAGCGGCGGTAAAGAAACTTTAACGACACAACTTGCAGAGGTTGTAGACTCGTACATACAGTAGAAGCTTTTCAATCAGGTATTGAGCCGTCCCATCACTCACTCCCACGATGTCACTGTTCAGTGTTTGCGGGAATGAGTCGTTGCGCATTCAAGTCATTGCCCTACTCGAATGATGTACAAACTCTTTCCGGGCCAGGATGGACGACAACAGTGACATCTGTAAACAAGCAGACAACTATACTCCGAGGATTACTGAACGCATACATGCCTGATCATGAGTGTCCGATTAGGATGATATTACGATTCTACTCTGCTTCCTTGATGGGTATAAATCGACCGTTGTTCGAATCACGAAGAAGACCCGTCGCAGCCATCTTCAACGCCTTCCACCTAACAAGATCCTGGCCCTGCGGAGCATCGCGGTGCGTGCTATTCCTATAAATATGATCCAGCGTGTCCAGCACCGCCGAAGCCAGCTTCTCCGCATGGAACTGCTGGTGCTTCAGCGCCTTCTTCGACGTCGGCGCATCGTATCCCACCGTGCGCCGCGCGTTCGATGCCAGCAGCTTCAAGTCGAGGAAATGCAAGAGCCGCAGCGCCTGTCGCATGAACGCGCGGTTCTCCGACGCTAGAGCAGTGCGGACCAGGAGTGACGCATTCTCGGACGTGACGGGAAGAAGCAGGTGCGAGTATCGTTCAAACTTGGGCGTTTTCTCGACGCCGTCGCTGAAGTCGTGCCCCTGGTACCCGGTCATCATCTGGAACGCCTTGATGGCGCTCGGATAATCCTTCGTACGCCAGCATGCATTGAGAGCAAGAAGGAACGTCGTCATCTGCGGACGCAACGTCTCCTTCCGGTCCTTGTTGCTAGCTTTCACCGCCTCGGAGACCAACATCCAGTCCAGGATTCCAACCTCGAATTCCGCGTTTTGAGGCGCTGGGTCAATGGCCTGTCGGGCTTTGAACACCTCGTTGACGTGACCGTGATCGATGATTTCAGATGCATCGCGTCGCTTCTTGACCTGCTTGAAGAGGTCAAAAGCAAGTGCCTGCTTGTCACTGCTTTGGCAAAGCAAGAGCACTGCACCAAAGGCGGGAGGTGAGAGATCAATAGGCGCAGGCTGCTTCTTGTCTGGCGCCTCCACAGCCAACCCCAAGTATTCGCGAACAATGCCGAACGCGAATTCCTGGTCGCTGCTACGTCCTTTGGAAAGTGCGATAATAGCGGATGCGACCAAGTGAGCATCAATAGTGAATTCCGTCTTTTTGGCAACTTTTATCATCTGCGTCCACAGCAGCTTCGCACTGGACGCGTTCTGTGTAGCCGTCGATTCTGAATCCATGCCATACGGAATCTTTAACGGAGATAGTGCTTGGAACATAGCGGTGAAAACCATGTGGTCAGGCGTTATGGGCCCTTTGGGATCCAAATTATAGTAAACGTCGAAAATCTCCTGGTACCGCCCAGCATCTCCTAGAAGTTTGAGATACAAGGCAAGCGGACTGCTGGAGAGTTCGGGGCTCTTGGGACTGTGCGCGTGAACGGATTCTATATGTCTCATGTAGTGTTGGAAGAGAGACTCTGCGTTCTTCAGCTGCTTTGGGTATGCCGCCCAGTCCTCAATGCGCACTAGACCGTTGAACATAGTATGATATGTACGTGTTGTGGGGCTAAACCCTCGGCGCTTCATCTACGTATTGTCAGAAGAGAATGAAATCAAGAGACTTGAACACGTACATCGGTGAACAGCTGGTAGGACTGCTGAAACTGCTTTGCTTTCATACACTCCCATATGACCGTGTTCCAAACGATCGCATTTTGAGCATCGTGAGGGGAGTTCTTGAGCATGGATATAGCCGCCTCCAGTTTGCCCTCGTCGCACAACTTTTTGAGACGTTCGGAGAGAACATGGGGTTCTAGTTTCGGCAGACCTTCTGGCTTGACGACGGAGGGATCAAAGTGTTTGGACCTGTACTTGTTTGTCTCTCTCGGTGTATTATTCTTTTCCTCTTGCTGAACTCTGGGAGCCTCTGAACGCGAAAATGGTGCATTCTGCTGTCGTCCCAGGTGTGCTGCTCGAGATTTTGATAATGGTCGCGCCGGCCTGTAAGAGGGCTCGGAAGAGTGGGAGGATGGTGGTCTAGACGATGACGGTCTTGAGGAGGAGGTGGTCGGTGGTCGGGAAGAACGGGTAGGTGGCCGAGAAGAGCGGGACAACGTTCTTTGGAGAGCGGGAGTGACGGCGGAGGTAGAGAACGAGACCAGCGCGGGCTCTAGGGAATGTCGCGTCTGTTTAAGGGAACGACTAAAAAGCATGTCGGCGAATCCAGGATTGACTAACACTTGGTCAGCGTCGAAAACTAAGTCAAGGCGCGTCGATCACGAAAATAATTCGTGATCACCGGCATGTCCGGGCCGCCCTCACTCACCGCTTCGCCTGCATGACTTCGCTTTCAGCTTAGCCTCATGACGAGGAACTAAATAGCTCGGATCTAGCTGTCTTATGCTCCTCTGCCCGCGACTACCGCGTCAAACTCGGATGTATTCGTACACGTCACTCGAAGCAGCCTATATTATCCCGATGCCTGGGATTTCAAAGGCACCCGTTCGCGATGTTCATCTTCTTGCTGATCGTCGTGTGTATCTACCTCCCCGTACACGGCATGCCCGCCTGGGCTGGCGCCCCGGGGCGCACGTCAATCGGCAGCCTGGTCCCCGGCGCTACCCACATTGAAGCAATAATACCCTCCCGCACGTCCGGAAAGGGAACCACGACACATCTCACCATACCGAGCATCGGTGTGCACCATCTTCCAGACTCAAAACCTGGGCTTACATTCGACTTAGACCACCTGGGGAACCTTACCCTAATTCCCACCGCGGAGACCAACGCCAGCCCACCGCTCTTTTTCATCAACCAAGACCACCTATGGCTCTTCAGAAACGAGTCCGCGATATTTCCCGTCAGCGTCGTTAATGCGACAACACAGTTCGAGGGTAGCCCGCAGAACCAAGCTCCAATGCAGCTCATCATAGACCGGAAACACATCGGAGTCTCTGGTGGCTCGTGGAAATGGCGCGGGACACGCCTGCATTACCATCATGGCAACCACAACAACGCGGGAGTCTTCTACACTTGTCCAACGGCAAACGGCCGCACTGGCGTCTACTTGGTCCTCGAAGTGTACGCGAACCACTTGCACACTTTGTCCAAAGTCCACTCACCATTTCTACAGTGCAGGACGCATGCAAGGATGCAACGTCGTCAGTCTGCATAGCTTTAGCCGGGTCAAGGAAGATAGTACAT